ACAATCAGAGTGTCCAGACTAACAAGGTGTTATTGTATTCCGAGAGTCCAGACTAACAAGGTGTTATTGTATTCAAACAGAGTGTCCAGACTAAAAAGGTATTATTGTTTCCAAACAATTAGGGAGTCCAGACTAAGAAGGTGTTATGTATTCAAACAGTGTCCAGACTAACAAGGTGTTATTGTATTCAAACAGTGTCCAGACTAAAAAGGTGTTATTGTTTCCAAAAAATCAGAGTGTCCAGACTAACAAGGTGTTATTGTATTCAAACAGAGTGTCCAGACTAACAAGGTGTTATTGTATTCAGAGTGTCCAGACTAACAAGGTGTTATTGTATTCAAACAATCAGAGTGTCCTGACTAACAAGGTGTTATTGTATTCAGACAGTGTCCAGGCTAACAAGGTGTGATGGTATCCAAACAATCAGAGAGTCCAGACTAAGAAGGTGTTATTGTATTCAAACAGAGCGTCCAGACTAACAAGGTGTTATTGTTTCCAAACAATCAGAGTGTCCAGACTAACAAGGTGTTATTGTATTCAAACAGAGTGTCCATACTAACAAGGTGTTATTGTTTCCAAACAATTAGAGAGTCCAGACTAACAAGGTGTTATTGTATTCAAACAGAGTGTCCAGACTAACAAGGTGTTATTGTATTCAAATAATCAGCATGTCCAGACTAACAAGGTATTATTGTATTCAAACAAACAGAGTGTCCAGACTAACAAGGTCACACTTTATATTCCACACGGGTGGGTTAGACAAAGCTGTCCAGACTAGAAATTACCACTGTTGAAATAAAAGGGAGCTTCCTTTTGCTCGGTACTGTATAAAGTAGATCCATGTATTTTTCTGTGTATGTAGACATTGAAGAGCGATACCCTTGTCCATATCTGTGTGCGATCTTTGATATATTACGTGAGTATGTCTGTCTATATCTTAATTCCCCATTACCTGAAACACAATCTTCAAACCTGGTTAATGGGAGGAGATCAGAGAACTTAGGAGCAATTTCGAACAATATCTCGCATTGTGTTATGAAAGCTCTAATCAACCTCACATCTAAAGTAGCCACTTTATTCCCGGCAAATGACGGAGACAAGTAAATACTCCAGTCTGTGGTTGATAGCATGAGAAAGTCATGTTTGTTTTTTATTTAACGTGGCAACAACAATATTCCAGCCAAATGACAGCAGCCTGTAAATGATTGAGTCTGGACCAGACAATCCATTGATAGATATTGTGAGGAAGGATCCGCCTGTCATGCTACAAACAAAATGAAGGCAGCCTGTAAATGATTGAGTCTGGACCAGACAATCCAGAGAAAGATATTGTGAGGAAGGACCCGCCGGTCATGCTACTAGCCAAATGAAGGCAGCCTGTAAATGATTGAGTCTGGACCAGACAATCCAGAGAAAGATATTGTGAGGAAGGACCCGCCGGTCATGCTACTAGCCAAATGAAGGCAGCCTGTAAATGATTGAGTCTGGACCAGACAATCCAGAGAAAGATATTGTGAGGAAGGACCCGCCGGTCATGCTACTAGCCAAATGAAGGCAGCCTGTAAATGATTGAGTCTGGACCAGACAATCCAGAGAAAGATATTGTGAGGAAGGATCCGCCTGTCATGCTACAAACCAAGTCACAGAGCCGGACCACCAATTCATTTGATTGCCTCTTATGACCAGCATCGGTTGCTGGAGACGAAATCTAACCCAGAATCCCTAAGGGGACATGAATAATAATCCAAGTCAATGGTGAATGATGACATACATAGAGTAAGTGAGTGAGTGAGTATGGCTTTACTCCGCTTTTAGCAATATTCCAGGAATATCACGGCGGGGGACACCAGAAATGGGCTTCACACATTGTACCAATGTCGGGCTTCGGCTTGGATGAGCAAACGCTTTAACCACTAGGCTACCCGACCGCCCCCTGACATACACAGAGGATATCATATATCATATCACTATGTTTACGACACAAGTGTCTAAATACAGGAATTTAGGAACAAATGTCGAAAACATAGTATAACATGAATATAATGTTCTATTCATTACCGAAGATGTCTACAGAGACGAATTTTAGTGTTTACCTATAAGGACAACAAGTTGCAACAGCAGTGGAATCACAGTTTGTTGAATGATGTCAACAATCTTTAGCTTTAACATTCTTTCTGGTAAGACGTCATTCCAACCTCTGTCACAATAATTCGAATGACTCGTTTCTTGATGTGATATGACCCAAGTGCCCATAAGATTTTTATGATATGTTTGCCCTCGTAGGTAATATAATCTGCCATGTGACTGACTGTAACAATTCAATCCTCACTTTATGCTCCTCGGGCTCTATGACAAGTTGGGGTGCTGGGCTGGGGTGCAACTACCCTCAAAGACTCAACACGGGCATTCAACAAGTTGTATTCGCTTTGCCATGTTTTTGTTCTGGTTTTCAAGGGGTATCTTGGATGACATAATTCAGCTTCATGGAACTGCTGACAAAGTTCTTAAATTAAGTGAGTGAGTGAGTTGAGTTTTTAACGCCGCTTTTAACAGTATTCCAGTTATATCTCGGCGTGTCAGCTTAATGTGGGAGTAAAGCCCGAAGTGATGGAGGTCTCAGATGTTTACCACTTCGGTGAAACCTACGAGCAAGGGCATGGTGCTGACAAACCTAGAAACATAATCGGGGCGAACCGGGATTCGAACCCACAATCATAGGTTTCTGGCGTGCCCAAGGGATGCAACTCTGCACAGCAAATCGCGGCGCCTTAGACGACTGGGCCACCTGTGCCCCCTCTTAAATTAAGAGAGGGGATGAGTGAATATTGCTTAACGCCGCATCAGCCATATTGCAGCTCTTTGCATGGTCTCAAGCTAACAGGTGGTGAGATGAAATGAGGTTTAATGTAGCGTCCAAGACTATTGCACTTATATAGCGATTTGCATGCATTTTTGTGTGGCTGCTTGTACTGGTTCGGACTGATGACGATTTATAGTGCTAGCCCACTGAGATACCATGCCACAGTTTAACATGAATACCTCTCTCAGACACAGTATACTGACTCCGAGCCGACCAGTCCTTGTTTAAGCCCCTTAATGTCGAGCGCCAGACAGGGTAACAACAAGTACCATCTTTTAACGTCGTTTGGTATGACGCAGCCAGGGATCCAACCTCGGACCATCCACTCTCCAGGCAGACGCTCTACCACTTGACCACGGAGGCAGTTGCCTCAAGACAACACATGAGTGACAATATTATTGATGACATGACACTACCACGTGTCCTAATGACACATTGCATAACATAATGTTATCAATCTCAGTAGCAGACCATTTCCACATGCATGTCTTCCTGTACGGACCAGAGGTAGCTCCATGGTTCGCTATCTGAAGAGCACGGTAATAGACCGTATCAGATAACTATCAGTCATGTCCAGCATGTGGGAAATAGCCATAACTGTCACATCCAACAATCTTATCTCCCCTTTACTGCCCGAGCTGTCTCCGATGACCATAAACACAATTAGACGGCTGTGGAAGAGACAGCTATTTAGATAGTCAGCAGCTGGACTGGTGAGGTCATGCAGGAAATAGTCAGTGGCTTGTGCCTGTACGTAGTGTGAGTGGGTGTGGTCTTATGCTGGGGGTTCTAATATTCCAGGACAGCAAAATCATAGGGGGGAATCAAACCCAGGTTTTCGCTGTGAAAAGCGACTGCTTGATCCACTAAGCTAACCCATAACCACCTTATGAGAGTTTGGGTGAGGTAGGCATTGAGTGAGTTGGGATGATGAGGTGAATGAACATCCTGATTGGTGTGGGAGGGTGTGGATATCCTGATTGGTGTGGGAGAGGGTGTGGATATCCTGATTGGTGTGGGAGAGGGTGTGGATATGCTGATTGGTGAGGGAGAGGGTGTGGATATCCTTATTGGTGTGGGAGAGGGTGTGGATATCCTGATTGGTGTGGGAGAGGGTGTGGATATGCTGATTAGTGTGAGAGAGGGTGTGGATATCCTTATTGGTGTGGGAGAGGGTGTGGATATCCTGATTAGTGTGAGAGAGGGTGTGGATATCCTTATTGGTGTGGGAGAGGGTGTGGATATCCTGATTGGTGTGGGAGAGGGTGTGGATATGCTGATTGGTGTGGGAGAGGGTGTGGATATGCTGATTAGTGTGAGAGAGGGTGTGGATATCCTTATTGGTGTGGGAGAGGGTGTGGATATGCTGATTAGTGTGAGAGAGGGTGTGGATATGCTGATTGGTGTGAGAGGGTGTGGATATCCTTATTGGTGTGGGAGAGGGTGTGGATATCCTGATTGGTGTGGGAGAGGGTGTGGATATGCTGATTGGTGTGAGAGAGGGTGTGGATATGCTGATTGGTGTGGGAGAGGGTGTGTATATTCTGATTGGTGAGGGAGAGGGTGTGGATACTCTTGATTGGTGTGAGAGGGTGTGGATATCCTGATTGGTGTGAGAGGGTGTGGATATCCTGATTGGTGTGAGAGGGTGTGGATATCCTGATTGGTGTGAGAGGGTGTGGATATCCTGATTGGTGTGAGAGGGTGTGGATATCCTGATTGGTGTGAGAGGGTGTGTATATCCTTATTGGTGAGAGAGGGTATGGATATCCTTATTGGGCCGGGAGAGGGTGTGGATATCCTGATTGGTGTGAGAGGGTGTGGATATCCTGATTGTTGTGAGAGGATGTGGATATCCTTATTGGGCCGGGAGAGGGTGTGGATATCCTGATTGTTGTGAGAGGGTGTGGATATTCTGATTGGTGTGAGAGGTTATGGATATCCTGATTGGTGAGAGAGGATGTGGATATCCTGATTGGTGTGAGAGGGTGTGGACATCCTGACAAACCAAAGGCCGGAAGCACCAGCAGAATCTATAAACTACAAAGTACACCACATCTCACCACTGAAGACACTGTAGGTGCAACACTAAACGTTAACCACTCACTCAACATGCTTCTGGGCATGGCAACTCACTCACATGTATGTCTCAGGGCTTTTTGTTGTAAGGCACTGCCACTATCACAATGATAGCAATGAAGAGGAGAACGATGGCAACCCAGTAACCTGAAACGAAAAACAGGACTGTAATGACGTTCTTCATTTATCTTCATATTTTACAGATTCCTTGGACAGATTTAAATTTTCATAACCTTCTACCTGCTACCTGGTAAGATACCTATTCAACTAGCATCATTCCATACTAAACATATATTTGTCCTTCTCATCATGATAAGAAGTAATTCTGGCTCTGACTTCCTGACTGTTCCTTGCAGCATGAGCTCTATACAATACTGTATTCATGTGGTACCCTTGCTAATTAACACAGCAAGCTTAACACACTTAGGTGTCTGAGCTTTCCTAACTCCTGTCTTCATCAATAAGGATTGCACAGTCAGCAAGTGGATTTGAATAAATGAAGACATCGTTTCTTTCATATAAGTACAGTACAGGATAGGGATGGGACGGGTAACTCGGGTACTCGGGTCGGGTGGGTACTTAGCAGGACCCGGGTACCCAGAGGACTACCTGGACCCGTGGTTAGTCACGTGATATATTGTTTAATGACAAAACTTATCTGAAACTCTATGATCACACTACAAGTGACTAATGTTCCCATTTCTTTCTGACTATTCAAGTATTCCTTCTGACTTTTATATGTTTATAATAGATAAAACTTCATGCAATAAACATCAGTGCATATGCATGACCAGATCGTTTTATACATGTATCTAAATACATTTTGCCAGGGCTACAGTCAAACTTTTTCCAATCGGACAGTTTGTACCTATCTCTTAAGACCTACAGTGGGTAGGTAACGTAAAACAAGTAAAGCTGGATAGTGAGTCGGGTTTAATGATGCTTGTGTGAGGTAAGAGTGAGTGAGTGAGTGAGTATGGTTTTACGCCGCTTTTTAGCAATATTCCAGCAATATCACGGCGGGGGACACCAGAAATGGGCTTCACACATTGTACCCATGTTGGGAATCGAACCCGAGTCTTCAGCTTGACGAGTGAACGCTTTAACCACTAGGCTACCCGACCGCCCCTTGTGGGAGGTAAGACCTAAATGAAACAGACCGAAGGAGCGGGTGGGTTGGTATCATTCCTCTTTGTTTAATGCCAGTCAGCACTATTCCAGCTATATCACAGTGGCCGACAGATAGTCAAACCTGGACCAGAAAAGCCAGAATTTGACATCATGAGGATGCTCCGCACAGTATGGAGACAGGCCTCAAAGCTTAAATTTTTACCACGTAGCCATATGGCTACATGACAAGTATTTTTTTCCAGGTAGCCAGTGGTAAACTTAGAAAGTCGAGCCAATAGTGTAGGTAGCCAAAAGCATTTGAAATTATCTTTTATCAAATAACTAATATTGTATATTAGTGGAAACTGTACTTGAGTTTTGTTATTTGTGACTCGAACAATGACTCGAGCAATTTATGTTACCGTATATCGCTGTGTATAAGGCGAGTTTTTTCGTACCTAAAATGGGGGGGTTAAGAAGGGGGGTCGTCTTATACACGGAGTCGAAGATCTCACGTTTTTTTCCAGGTGTGTCACTTTCAGCTTCCACTGGCGATGTCGACCGGCATTCGATAGCCAGCCCAGCATTTGACAATAAAACTTCGCATTTCGTCCTAAATAACTGTTCAAATAACTATTTCCATACATAAACATGATTTGTATCTGTTTTCTGCAAATAAAGTTGAATGTTTTCTGCAAATAAAGTCGAAATGACCCTCGCCTTGATCCAGAATGTCAAGCCAGCTGACACGGTAAAACAATCAACATCCGTGAGTAGAGAGCCGGAAGTACCGGTAAGCATTTGCATATTGCACATGTGACCTAACATGTGATAACCGGTGAAGCTGAAATCAATTCCCGTTGTTTTTACAGTTGTATTAACAACTGTTGGAGACGGTGTGTATAAGTGAATGTTGAATAAACACGCTGAATGTGACGCAAACATAAGCCTAGTTAGATACAACATAGTTAATTGGCGATTAAATTACTCCCATTATCTCACCAAAGATCAAACCCATTGTTTCTTTTCATAGTCGGAGGGAAGCCGTGTAGTGGATTTAAGGGATTATAGAATGGTTGAGTATTTGAGTAGACCATGGATGGGTATAAATAATTCGTTATTCGTTGACTTGACATTCTTCATCATGAATTCCAAGAGAAAACGATTCGCCTACGACGCTGCTTTCAAGCTTAAGGTGGTTTCCTATGCTGAAAGTACAAACAACAGTGCTGCTGCACGTGAGTTTTCAGTGAATGAATCAATGGTAAGGAAATGGAGGACAGCGAAGCCGTCTCTTGAGGAGCTGCCAAAGACGAAGAAGGCCAGACGAGGATCCGAGACGCCATTCAAGCCACTGGAAGGTATTCGTTTCCAGTGGATCGGAGAGTTGTGACAGTCAGCGTGCATCGTCACACGCATGATGATTCAACAGCGAGCACTCTATGTTTACCGTACGAGGAAAGACATGGATCTCCCGAAGTCATTCAAGGCTTCGGGAAACTGGTGTTCGCGCTTCTTAAGGCGACACAACCTAGCGCAGAGGCAGAAAACACACATTGCACTGAAACTTCCTGCTGAAGTGGAAACCAAAGTGGGTTTTTTCCATCAATTTGTGATCCGTGAGCAGGTAGACTACGATTTAAGCCAGATCGGCAATATGGACGAAACTCCCCTGAACTTCGACATGCCAGGATCAAGAACCATCAACACCAAGGGGACTTCGACGGTGTCAGTTCGTACATGTGGAGCTGAGAAGCAACACTTCACGGTGGTCTTAACCTGCCGATGGGACCAAGCTGGTACTAGATTATCTAGGTATATCCTTGCTTATCCAATAAACTATCAACTAAAATAAAATACTTATTACATTAATAGTTGTGTATTTTGGTTCAATGTTGACTTTAGGAGGAATTATTTGTGAGTACAATTAGTAGCAGACATGTTTATTTTTGTGTCAACACATGTGTAGCAATAGAATTTAGTTGCCACAAGATATTTTTCAAGGTAGTCATTTGGCTACCTCTGAATTTTAGACAGAAGACAAATTGAAATTTAGCTCGCATTGGTGACCATTTTAGTCACAACTTTGAGGCCTGGAAGACAAATAATATACCAAGACATTGAGCCTGAGTGACCGATCCAAGTTGGTTGCCTCTTACAACAAGACATAGAGTGCTCAGGACCTATCCTGACCCGGGTTCCAACTGGGTAAGCTGCTTTGTAAAGTGTTTCAGTCATAACACCACTTTGTAAAGTATTTCAGTTATAACACACATAAAGTATTTGCGTTATAACACACTTTGTAAAGTTTTTCAGATATAGTACCATTTTGTAAAGTATTTTAGTTATAACACCACTTTGTTAAGTTTTTCAGATATAGTACCATTTTGTAAAGTATTTTAGTTATAACACACTTTGTAAAGTTTTTCAGATATAGCACCACTTTGTAAAGTAATTTAGTTATAACACCACTTTGTAAAGGTTTTTTTAGCATAACATCACATTGTAAAGTATCTTAGTTATAACACCACTTTGTAAAGTTTTTTTAGCATAACATCACATTGTAAAGTATCTTAGTTATAACACCACTTTGAAAAGTATTTCAGTTATAACACCACTTTGTAAAGTATTTCAGTTATAACACTGCTTTGTAAAGTATTTCAGTTATAACACCACTTTGTAAAGTATTTCGGCTATAACACCACTTTGTAAAGTATTTCAGGTTAAAGTGGGAGGAGACAAAAGTGATGAAGCAGGAACAAGACGTTTGGTCAAAACCATTAGCATGGGCTTGGGCCTAATAACTAAGAACAACAATAAGGACAGAACTTCAATATTCACACCCACTATCAGCAGATTCTGTTATAGGGATATAAAAGCAACTTCCAGCACCATAGAACTCATGGCTAGAACAGCATGAAAATGTCCACCTCTTCTGTGAAACCCATGAGCACAAGTATGGTGCTGACAGACTTAGGAAAATCATTGGATTGTTGGGTTGGGACGAGTCCAGATTTACAACACGGTTACCCTAAAAACTTGGGTACAAAACATCCAATTAGTAATTGTTTTCCTAGAGCCCTGACAAGATCTATTTAGAGACACGTATAAAATGATCTCATTATGCATACACTGAAGTTACTCAAACATGTAAGAGTCAGAAGGACTGACTGAGTTGGGTTTAACGCCGCTTTTAACAGTATTCCAGTTATATCACATTATGTCAGCCTAATGTGGGAGGAAAGCCCGAAGTGATGCAGGTCTCAGACGTTTACCACTTCGGTGAAACCCACGAGCACGGGTATGGTGCTGACAAAAAAAGTCAGAAGGAATGCGTGCATTGTCAGAAAGAACATTAATAACCTGTGTGTAACCATGGAGTTGTATTGTTATTGTCATTAAACAATATATCTCATCATTAACCATGAGTACTGTGGGTACCTGGGTCCTACTCTGGACCCACCCGACCCGAGTATCCAAGTTACCCATCTCAGCCCTACTGGACTGAATCTTGGATTTGACCCAGCACCAGCACAGCATCTTACCTTTCACCAATGCCCATGCTTCCACATACCCTTAAAGGGACACTGCTTGACTGCCAAAGGGAAAACTTACCACACGTGTTTGACTTCCTGTCTACAATTTTAATGTGTGATGTTTCTTTGACCAGTCTTTCCCCTGTTCTGTCCACGTGGTCTGTTATATCATCAATTAGTTCTGCAAGTTAAAACAGACATAATTATATTTCAAAATACATTCAAATTCCCTTTTAACCTCTTTGCAGAATGAAAATCTAAAAAAGCAATATGCTATCCTTAAACATACTCTAAGCAATTCAAACAATTTTATCAGTAAGATCAATGCAGCTATTTTTACTAATGGCCAAACATCTTTTCTGAAAATGAGAATAACAAATCCAAACTTAAGTCCCTAACGGTAATCACACTTAATGAAACGGCAACAGTCTTTTCAAACTGGAATCCAATCCATAAAAGCTGAGTCAATATGTGACATTCATCAATCACACACTGGCATCTAGTACTGTCACCATCAGCTCTGTAATGAAGCACAACGTCCAAACACTGGCTTTATTGAAGCCCTGATTAAAAAACACTCAGCATCTATGTCATGCAGTCAACAGTTTCCACATCAATGTGTTCATTTCATGCAATTTCATATATTTCGCATTTATAGCTGTGGAAGCGAGTGGCGGAGTATTTGCCTATTACATGCAGAGGCTTGTCCACGGACGTTAATTTCAAGTGGACAATAGTCACTATACTGTATTGATAGAACCGGAACAGCTGACAGGAGCTCTACGTCAGAACAAGCGGATCACAAAATGAGGTATATAATGGAATCGACCTGTGAAGATCTGGGTAAGAATAGGACTGCGCTTGTTGTAAGAGGCGACTAACAGGATCGGGTGGTCAGGTTCGCTGACTTGGTTGACGCATGTCATCGTATCCCAATTGCGTGGATCGATGCTCATGATGTCAATCACTGGATTGTCTGGTCCAGACTTGATTATTTACAGTCCGCTGTCATATAGCTGGGATATTGCTGAGTGCAGCGTTAAACAACAAACACACAACCAACCAATTATAACAATTATTATTAAATAATACATACAACCGCCTAACATGGAGGGATAGTCTGTATTTAATTGTAATAATAGTACATTTGTATTACGCTTTTTCCATGCTAAATGTCATACTCAAGGTGCACCTTAATCACCTGGTCAATGGATCAGTGTGCACTCGATTTTCTTGAGGAGTATACAACCCAAGCTACCTGTGAGGCTCTAAAAGGTTACATTACCTCATCCTACCAGTAACCCATTCACTGCTGGGTTAACAGAGACATATTTCAAACAAAATAGTGAGTGAGTGAGTATGGTTTTACGCCGCTTTTAGCAATATTCCAGCAATATCACAGCGGGGACACCAGAAATGGGCTGCACACATTGTACCCATGTTGGGAATCGAACCCGGGTCTTCGGCGTGACGAGCAAACGCTTTAACCACTAGGCTACCCGACCGCCCGTTCAAACAAAATAACTTAAGGGGACACATATATGCTAAACTTGCTTTTGCATAAAATACATATTATGTGATTGACTTATTATCCACAGGTATAACCGCAAGTGTTAGGAAAAAAAATAATCTTGGTTCTCAGGCACCGCCCGCATCATCATAAATTCTGACACACATTTCGTTTTTATTTCCATTTAAAAAAAATTGAAAAAAATCCTAATACTTAAAAACAATACAATCCAATATAGCACACAGTTACTTCCCTTTACATGCGCACTGCTTTACTGCACATCTTGTGTTATCAGCGTTAGAAATTGGCACTAGTCCTGTAGTCCTTGCCAAGCTGCCCAAAAGTAAAGGTATCATAAGGACTAGTAAAAATTTGCCATTTTTAAGGGTTTTGCTATATGTTATTATAAGGACTAGTGGTTCAAACCTGTTAGTTTCTACCGCTGTGTTATGGTCATGGCGGCAATAGGAGTTTGTATGCTTGTTTATGTAGGGATCTTTACCAGGTTGATGGTACACAACTGTTTATTTGGTTACATACTAGTTTGAACAAGCAAAAGAAAAAGAAATCACCGACCACTAGCACCATATTTTGAAAAGTCATTGCCTGAGAACCAATTCTTTTATTTTTTTAGCCTAATACACAGTTGGTCACCGTCATAACTGTTTGATCAACCTTTGTGAACAAGCAAAAAAACCAGAAACCACCACCCGCCCGCACTATATTTTCCAAAGTCATTGCCTGAGAACCAATTCTTTTATTCTTATAAGCCTCACATCTGAACTAACGAATGAAGGAGCTGCAGTGCTGGAACTGGAAGTGACTGATCACCTTCCACGGCCTGATGATCGCCCAGTATACAGTGAGGGCAGTCTACAAGACAAGAGTCCAGTGATGTCTGTTTGTTGTCTGGCCGTGACAGTAGGTCAAAACTACCATTTAATTACAGAGACTGAGGGGCACTTTTCAGACATACAGCTTCAGATGAGTGATTTATTATAGTTGGAAGCTCTTTAGGCCTTTTATGCTTTGTGTCTAAGTGTGAGTGTGTGTGCCCTGAACATAACCAGGGAGTGGTTTCAGGTGTGTTTCAATGAGTGAGCGTGGTATTAACACCGTCCTTAGCAATAGTCCATGTAGGGACTTGAACCTGGACCTTCAGCCAGATAACTTAAAGCTTTCACCGCTGGACTATACCTCCTCCTCCTCCCCCCTCCCTCCTTCCCCATACTCTTTTCCATTTCCAGTCGTTATCAGGGTGCCGTTGTACAGATCGATCTTAGCGCTAAGGTGATCATAACTCCCATACCTTAACATAGACTTACGACAGTCGTAGCACTAAGGTTGTTTTGTACAACAGCACGCAGAGCTGTAGCTACTGAACAACACAGTTATAGCAGCTCGTAAAATCAGGCCCTCAGAACAATCAAAACACCGTATTCGACGTAATAAGCGCCCCGCTCATATATATTTACTAATATATTGGCTAGTGAACAATCGCAATTAGCACCCCTTCCGATTGATCAATGTACACAAGACTTATTTATTCATGTATGATACGCACCCTTAATTATGGGCAATTAAATTCACAAAATTTATCTATCGTGTATAACACGCACATATTCTTCCTTTATATCATTTCAGGCTGTCAGCATAAATCACAAAATTTACAATCTTTCAACTCTGTTTTTTATCTCCCCTATTTCTAATTTTGAGAGCGCCTGGGCGCTTATTACGTCGAATACGGTATATTGAGTTTGGTGTTTGAGGCCACAGAGTTCCAATATCAGACAATAATGCTGATAACAATTCTGTTGCGACTATAGTCACATTGCTGTAAACAATATCTGGAGTTAATGGAGGAAACAATGTTCCCCTGTATTTTCAATACCTACCATTCTGATTATCCACTTCGTTGCCAATATCAACAGCCATCATCTTCTGTCGTGCTATTACACTGGACAAAGCCTCCAACCCCTGGTCTTGTTCTACAATGAGAAAATTGTGCCAAAATTGATTTTCTGTCAACTGGATGACCAGCAGTCGTTATCGTCAAATCTCGAACATTCATCATAAATTTCGGAATTGCTCTGACCTTCTCAACACGATACTTCCTTCTCACAAATATTGACGGAATTACCAATAAATGGGCATTCTGACCGGGCAATAAAAGTCAATGGTAAATCTTCATCTCCACGTCAGGCATGAAATTGAAATATTCCCCCGAGTATTTCAAAGTGATGGAGTTCTTGCCTGAGTCTATTTCCCTTCAATCGAGAGTTCATCAATTTAATCTATGATTGTGATTCGCCCCTTCTAGTCGTCAATAACGGTGATTGAAAGTTTTGTGCGACACTCATCAATGTCCGTATCGACACAACCATCCCCATAACGAGGGACTTAGACAGTATACATCACACATAAGATGACGACTAGGACCTCTTAATCATAGCAGGAGGAAGGTAATAATGGCGGGAGAATACAGAGACGTGCAAGTCCAGACACAGGACAGTCTGACTGACTAGCAGTACAACCAGACAGGGAGCTCCTGTCTTCCAGGTTCATCTCCTTTCAAGAAGCATTGGGAGTTGATAAAAGATATGAGAAATAGAGTGATAACGTTTTAGGCACCGACCACTTTATCTCCTGCGGGGCTGAGATAATTTTACCTCACTTTTGTACGAAACAAATAAATTTCCAGATGAAAGCATGGAATCTTAATGTATTGTAATCAATGTAATAAGATCCTCGGGCATTTAACCAAGTCACATGCCACAGCTCATACTCTGGTGTTGTGGTGATGGAGGTTGGGAGAATGTAAGGTCCGGAGGCTAATTATGATGATTACAGTGTATTAAGAGCTGTATCTTCTAATGCACCTTGTCCCCTTGTCACAAAGTGATCACAGCTAAAATAAATGTGAAAATAAAAAAGTGATCATTGCGATATGCCTGTTGAAATTCACATAGCTTGTTTTACACACAATAGTAATGGTCATACAACTTCCAAAACAGGTTGGCAAAAACACTGCCTGTATAAAAAATGTAAAAAAGCTTGCTTTGAAAATTAATTCAACTTGTGATTCCTTGTTTATTCTGTGTACTGTTTGTTTGTTTGTTTGTATGGTGTTTAACGCCGCACTCAGAAATATTCCAGCTATATGACAGCGGTCTAAATAATCGAGTCTTCACCAGACAATCCAGTGATTGACATTATGAGCATCGATCCACGCAATTGGGATACGATGACATGCATCAACCAATTCAGCGAGCCTGACCACCTGATCCCATTAGTCGCCTTTTACGACAAGCATGGGTTGCTGAAGACCTATTACAACCCAGATCTTCACAGGTATGTGTATGTGGTAACAATACAACTGAGTCACGGAGTTATGTCCCTTCTGTAAATGGAGAAAGCAGATGTTTTGACAAATGAAGTCCCGACTATTGAGTTTCAGGTGAGTGTGTGCAGTTGACAATTTACAACCTTGCAAGACTTGTTTCATACTGTTACATGTGCAGTGCGGTCAACTACTCTTTGCTTTCAACATGGCCGTTCTGCTTCTCGTGCATGCCAGTCGAGTCACGGTGGAAACCAATGATGTAAAGAAGCTTTATAACTTTATTCAAAAAGGTTCAGTGATGAAAGATAGAAAAAATGATCATAACAAGAAAACAGCATTATCACTATCACTATCCCGTCATGGGGCACATAAGAATTTTGTTTGTTCAAATGGTAGTAAATGTAACCTATAGTAAAAGAGTCCTATAAAGCCTTAAGAACAGATAGGCACAAGTCATCAGAAAAAATATTAAATGTGAAATTAATACACACAAAAGGCCCCTTCTCTGAAAAAAATAATGAATGGCGCAAATTCTTGAACTTAGTCTTGATAAGTATCTCTCAGATAAGCTAACTTCAGTAGTATTTGAGAAAACTTGTCCCCATTATGCACTGTGTAAAATAACATGGGTCAAGGACCGTAACTGGGAATGCTCAAAATCTAAAATTATGTAGCATGGGAAGTAACTAAGTTGCACTAAGTTGAAAAGCACAGAGCAAGGGCCATAACTCTGTAAAAACTGAATTACCGACACCAATTTTAAAACCTCATTTAAGATCAAGACCAATTATACCAGTGTGTAAAATTTCATTTCTCTAACTTAAATAGGTTTTGCAAAGATTCGTCCACTCTGAGAAGCGGTTGGATGGACAGACGGACAGACGACCTCCGTTCCTATATCCCCCATCCCACTTCATGGCTGGGGATAATAAACTTTAAAACCACGTCGTAGTCTCCTTGGTTGTTCAACTCACATCTCCAAAACCAAGAAGGAGCCAAAATATTGAGTGAGTGTAACTGGTTTTATGCCGCTTTTAGCAATATTCAAGTACCATCAAGGAGTGGAACACTACGGCTTAACAAGGTAGAGAATGAAATCAGTATCATGTAAACAATCAGGCACTTGAACCACTTGACTACCTGGTTGCCTCTGGAACCTAGACATAAGCGTGGTCTCTGCAGGTTACACGCCCCTGCTTCCAATATTCACGCCTCCCATTACATTACACAGTAAACTAGACGTTTGGTATGGAGTGGTACTTGCTGTAGCTGAGGTCAATCAATCAGAGGTGGTTCCTTGTGATCATGGTGATATAACACGCGAGTGTCATAATGATATCATTATGGAAAATGAACCAAGATCTGTTGGCACTGAACTGACTGACTTTGTGGTGTAGTTGATAAGAGTGTCTGCCTGGACAGTGGTAGTAATCGGCACTAGTCTTATAGTCCTTGCCAAACTGCCCAATAGTGAAGGTATCATAAGAGCGATAGAAATTTGCCATTTTCAAGGGTTTTGCTATATGTTATGATCATAAGGACTAGTGGACTAAAAATGTTAGTTTCTAGCACTGCTGGAGAGCGAAAGGTAGGTGGTTCATCCCTAACCGCATCCTACCAAAAGGCACTGCTTCTATCCCTATGACAGCAATGAAGAGGAGAACGATGGCAACCCAGTAATCTGTGTTCCCTGAGGTCAACATTAAGGGTATAAAAAAGGAATGGTCTTGGAGTCAGAATACGCATCTGAGTGCAGTATGTACCGGCATATGTTAAAATTGTGGCATCTCCATGGGATTGTACTATTAAACCAGCATTTGTTCGGACAAGTACAAGCAGCCCCAAACACGTGTGCAAGCATGTCCTTATGTAAGCGCGATAATTTTGAACCCTACATTAAACCCCGTTCCATCTCACATCACCTTGTCAGCACTATATCCATATTGACGATTTTAACCTAACAGAGCTCAAGATAAGCTGCGTATATGCGTAACATACACATTAAATAAACTGAAACACGCAGACAAATCAAATCCTAGCATATCCATAGAAATATCGAAATAGTGCTATTGAAATAAAATTAATGCGTATAATACAACTAGTAGATAAAGCAATTGCACATGTTACAACTGTTAGATAAAATGATTGTGTATCAGCCGATCACCAAATTCACTTACCGACAGTGACATTCAGTAAAGATTCTGAGACAAACATACTGATAGATGCCAATTGAAAAGCACATCATACCTAGTCAATGTACATGTTGTATCATTAAATAGTCGCTGATTGGTAATTAAAACAATTGCGCATTTCTAACAATGCTAGGTTTTGTAAACCAAAAATGGCTTCCCGGAGAGAGAGAGAGAGAGAGAGAGAGAGAGAGAGAGAGGGAGAGAGAGAGAGAGTGAGAGAGAGAGGCAAAAGCAGACGTAGACGGGTATACAACTTTTCACATAGTTTTAAATGATTAACAGGGATTGTTACAAAACAGGTTTTAAGTTTAATACCCAAATTCCAAGAAACGAGTGGGTAAAAACAATGTGAATACCCTCTAAAACTTCTGGATACCCAATCAAATTAAACCCCTGGGTACAATACCCAAATAGCCAAAAGCTTATCTGAAGTTCTGACCTAAGTTGCATATGTCTGACCTGCTTCAGTTGCCATGCCTCCCACACGCCATGATAAAACTGAAATACTGTTTAAACCACACTACTCATTTTGCAGGGTGTCCTCATACCAAGCTTTGATTACAGCAGATGGCTTGGATAAGCTTGCAGCACTTGCATTAATATAAATAAATTTCCATCATCTTGCAGCCTTTTTTTTCAAATGACCCATCACCTTATCATAAAGCATCGGACAGGTAATTACAACAGTTATTTATAGTGCATGTAATGTATGTAGAATCAAAGCAGACTTGGATTGATGTTCACAATTCTGTTTCCATATCATCAATTATATGTCCATGCAGGCACCATTAATGTTTGTTACATGGAGGTTATCCTTGCATCTTCAGAAAGCTACCACTACATGCAGCGTTTTCCTAACAACTAAGCCTCACTGCCTAAATATTATTTTCCACACAACTGCCTCAATGCCTAAATATTATTTTCCACACAACTGCTCACCTCTAATAATATCCTGTTGCTGAGCCTGAATTTCATTATTAGCAACCCCTCGGAAGTTGTCTGGATCCTCGTTCATCCCCCAGGGGTCACTGGAAGCAAATGTGTCCGTTCCACGATTTCCTAACAGTGATTGCCTGAAATAAAGGCAAAATCCATTACATTTCCAATTCCCTGAAAACATGTTGAATATCATTATTTTTCTGGATCTCATTAATACTAGCCTGATAAAAGAATAAACCACCTTCGGTGTGAGGACAGCATCTCAGTACTACTACAGCTTCCAGCTTCAGTTTTACTCCAGTAATAAATTAAACACGTTGATTTTATGGCTCCTTGATTTCAAGCATGGCTTCACAGATGTTTTATCCAGATAAAGTTAAACCCTCTGAGACAGTGGTGAAGCCATGATGATACCAAATTCAAACTTAAAACATTAAAACTCAGTAACCAGGGTATATATTTCAATGTAACAATAATGCAACTAGTTATAGAATATATATTGCAATAAGTGAAAAGAATGCCTGTAAAAACATCAAAACACATCAGACCACACACATCCTTGTTCTAATGATAGTACTTGGATGTAACCTGGGTTGGCTAAGTGGCATTTTAACTATTGCAACAGCAAAAACAATAGTTCAAAATAGCAACAAATTACTATTGCAATTACTGGAAGATGTCCACTATTACCAAGGCTGAGTATATTGCGGAGAAGTTGTGGAGGGGAAGTTGTGGGGTTGTGTGTACTGCCTGGGAAGTTGCGAGGTTGAGCAAATTCTAGAGAAGTTGTGGGGAAGAACATTTTTATATTTTATTTATTTAAAGGAATAGATAGGTGGGTGACTTTTGTGGGTATTTTGATTTTGATATTTTGATGAAATCCTTGTCACAATGCAGATCTTTTTCATATGCATAACTGATCCCGTACAGTATCCCCCAATGCTCTGAAAGATGTAATCATTTTCTGATACTCGCGCATGTGCAAATTTAGTGATTTCAAAAGCTGACCGGGCAGTTGACGTTGCTGCATTGTTGATCCCCTGTTCATGCTGCTTCTGCTGTTCATGAAGTCACAAACTGATATAACTCAGCAGGACAATACATCTAGTTCAGTCATGTTTTTTTGTAATTTGGACATCATGTTTGTTTCACAGACCCTGCTGTATTCTGGGGTTCTGCAGTCAGGGAATATCCTGCAGAAAAGCCCACTCGGTGCAGAAAATTACATTTTGTGCAGAACACTCATGCAGAATTTTGCATTCATCTGCATCAGAATTTGTCAAATAAACTGCAAAATTTTAACTGGTTTTAAACATGTAAACAGATGTTTATGTTGTTTTGTAGTGAAGTTGACCTTTGTAATATTGCTTAATGAAAGTGCATGTCTCAACATTTACACTAGTGATGTCCTGTTTCCTTTCAATAAGCTATTCTAGCCATGGATAAGTTTTAATTCATGAAAACTAAGCTTAAAAGTTTGCAGAATTGCGGGCAGAATAATCACAATATTGGTCACAGAATTTACAAAGATTGACCTCAGAATGTTTATAACGTTTACTTTTGGCTGCTGAATACAGACTGGTATGAAGTCACTATTATATACACATATAGAGAAGTATGTACATTAAGAAGTGATTTCCGATGTGTACCACTTAATGACAAAACTGACAATGAGTCAAGTGTTACGACAGTGTCTGTATTCTTATCACGACATGATCCACATGATGTCCAAACTTTATACTCTAATCCTCAACCAGACAAATTGTGCATCTCGAGTCATGGACTTATGACATCACATGTGATGCGTTCATGAGCATCAGTTCATGAAGGTTTGTTTGTGCATCAAACCAATCAAATGTCCCCTGAATATGAGTAAGTCTTCAAATATTAACCAACATGTATGGTATTCACATTTCTTTTGGCAGTGAGTATGTAATGATAATACAGAATTATGCATAGCTGACCCCATCTTCCATTCATGCCCGTGAAGATTCCGGGGTAGAATTGGTCTTCAGCAACCCATGCTTGCCATAAAAGGCGACTATGCTTGTCGTAAAAGGCAACTAACAGGATCGGGTGGTCAGGCTTGGTCAGACTTGGTTGATACATGTCATCGATCCCAATTGCGCGGATCGATGCTCATGATGTCAATCACTGGATTGTCTGGTCCAGACTCGATTATTTACAGACCGCCGTCATATAGCTGAAATATTGCTGAGTGCGGCGTTAAACAACAAACAAACAAACAAACAAACATTCATTGACATATAATCATAACTTCTTGTAGCATGGTGATCACTACCTTCAATTATTAACCACACCCTCCAATAGTCTGGACGAACTCCAAATACTAAATTCATTTTCCAATCCCACTTGTTGCCTTCCGGTTTCTCCCTTACTGTAGCCCCACACTTGCCCTCCTCTCAAACCTCAGTTACCGGTAATTAAACAGAACAATGAGATATTTCATGAGCTAAGAATTTGAGGATGGGAGTTCCAGTCAGGAGTCGTATTCCAGTGACCATGGCTGACACAGACTCTACCACGTGTGTATTTCACCAATCTGTGCAGACAACTACCCTAATAATACTGTCCCTGGATAGCTTCTCCAAGTGACTACTTCAGAATGTAACTCTACTCTTTAGGGCATTATCATTTCCAGAAGCCAGAGGTCTGCCATTAAGTGCCGAATGAGGTTTGGTTGTTTTGTTGTTTGACGTATTCAGCAATATTCCAGCTATATGACAGCAGTCTGTAAATATTGGAGTCTTGACCAGACAATCCAGTGATTGATATCATGAGCATCGATCTAGGCAATTGGGATATGATGACATGCATCAACCAAGTCAGCGAGCCTGACCACCCAATCCTGTTAGTCGCCTCTTACAAGAAGCATAGTCGCCTTTTATGGCAAGCATGGGTTGCTAAAGACCTATTCTGTGGCCGTGGGACCCCTGTCTATCACACTGTGGCCGAGTGACCCCTGTCTATCACACTGTGGCCGAGTGACCCCTGTCTATCACACTGTGGCCGAGTGACCCCTGTCTATCACACTGTGGCCATGGGAGCCCTATACATCACACTGTGGTCGAGTGACCCCTGTCTACCACACTGTGGCCTGGGAGCCCTATACATCACACTGTGGTCGAGTGACCCCTGTCTACCACACTGTGGCCTGGGAGCCCTATACATCACACTGTGGTTGAGTGACCCCTGTCTACCACACTGTGGCCTGGGAGCCCTATACATCACACTGTGGTCGAGTGACCCCTGTCTACCACACTGTGGCCTGGGAGCCCTATACATCACACTGTGGTCGAGTGACCCGTCTACCACACTGTGGCCTGGGAGCCCTATACATCACACTGTGGTCGAGTGACCCCTGTCTACCACACTGTGGCCTGGGAGCCCTATACATCACACTGTGGTCGAGTGACCCCTGTCTACCACACTGTGGCCTGGGAGCCCTATACATCACACTGTGGTCGAGTGACCCCTGTCTACCACACTGTGGCCTGGGAGCCCTATACATCACACTGTGGTTGAGTGACCCCTGTCTACCACACTGTGGCCTGGGAGCCCTATACATCACACTGTGGTCGAGTGACCCCTGTCTACCACACTGTGGCCTGGGACCCCTATACATCACACTGTGGTTGAGTGACCCCTGTCTACCACACTGTGGCCTGGGACCCCTATGTATCACACTGTGGCCGTGGGACCCCTGTTTATCACACTGTGGTCGAGTGACCCGTCTACCACACTGAGGCCTGGGACCCCTGTCTATCACACTGTGGCCGAGTGACCCCAGTCTACTACACTGTGGCTGTGGGACCCCTGTCTACCACACTGTGGCCGAGTGACCCCTGTCTAGCACACTGTGGCCTGGGACCCCTATGTATCACACTGTGGCCGACTGACCCCTGTCTACCTAACTGTGGCTGTGGGACCCCTGTCTATCACACTGTGGCCTGGGGCCCCTGTCTATCACACTGTGGCCGAGTGACGCCTGTCTACCACACTGTGGCTGTGGGACCCCTGTCTATCACACTGTGGCCTGGGACCCCTATGTATCACACTGTGGCCGAGTGACCCCTGTCTATCACACTGTGGCCATGGGACCTATCAGTGTTCCAGCTCTCCCCCTACAATTCCCTGTATCAGGATAATCAGCACCTCTACATTTCCTCCCCACAAGGCACCCCGGCTCCAGAGGCATCCCTACACATTCCTACACTCCAAGCAATTAGTGATCAAGACCTATGTTTGTCCAAGGAATCAGTTTCTTACACTGTCTTGTTGATTCTCTCCTTGGAGAAAATTGTCGCGCATAGATACTATAGCCATCGGCTCTCTTCAAACAGAGAAGGGAGATATTTGCGTGAGCTGGTATGGGGGGGAGCAGATGAGGATGCGGGGTCTCTTACTGACCACCTTAACAGGTGTTAATTCCGTGGAGGACTAAAGAATCATTTTCCGTCCTTTGTGGCAGTGGCAAGGAGTGTATTTATATGATAGGGCTGGGCTTGTACTAACAAAATACTTAAACGTTAGTCAGACCTGTCGAGGAGCTACAAGTAGAGCTCTACCCCAACAGTGTGATATTCTCATCGCAAGACCCTTATTGGTGTTCATTCATAACGACAATGGAGAGACTGAGAAGGAGAGGAATTCAATTACCTGTCTGCTTATCAAATACAAGATATATATATCCATCCTCTTAGACTCATAACTGCTCTAGGTTGACCAAACAGAAGTGAACTTCTTACATCTAATGCAATCAGGAAACAAAACCGACTGACAGATCACCCACGAAGTGTGCCCATCAATGTGGTAATGCCATGAACAACTTCAGAAAAAGAAAATCCGGCACGATCTTTGCCGTCGACCACCTTCCGAGGGGATGTTGTAAATATGATATGACATGTTGTAAATATAAGCCTCCGAGAAACAATATAAGGGAAATAGCAGATGTGCTGGCTAGCCGAATCTGGTGGAGATTTATTGTATTGTTACCAATCCCTCTATTGATCAAACAACAACTTGAGGATCGTGGAGATCAGAGTGCCAAGTCATAAATGAGGAGAACAAATACGACCGTGATAAGTAAACAGCTATCTCAACACTGCCAGTG